AGACCTTAGCCAGAACTTTAATGAAATATCGGTGGTGGTTGCTAATTGGTCTGTTGATTGGGAAATCTGTTAACTTTAGGGAAACGACCCTCGCTTAATTCAAATCGGTTCAAAGGCACACGAAGTAAGGCGGATTGATTCGCCCAAGGAATGAATTTGACTGCCCCAGAAGAGGACAGTCTAGTTGTTCTGACAAATGTTCCTCAGTGGAAAATGGCTTCCAGACAGGCACAGGAGTTAAAACGAATACACCGTTTGTGTCTTGGAATTTGCTTACTTTACTACTTCTACAAACCAAAAATTCTCGTTTGGAAGACGTCTATTAGCGCACCGTCTTTAATTCCACCGCCCACTGATGGAGACATCTTCCGAGACGCTCCGTTGTCCATCGTCTCTGTCACTTCTGATCCATTCTCACGGGAGAGGAGATTGTTCAATAGGAGGGCCTGATCTCTACTACTTGACTGCATCATTATCGGTCCTCCATTCTCATTTATGTACTGCAAAAAGGCCAATGTCCGCATCATCGGATCACACAACTCCTCTTGGTGACTTGGCCTAACTATAAAAAAAACATTTTTGCCTGAGTTGATACTCAAAGAGACGGTATTTCCGTTTGCTCAGATAAATGAGCAAACCTTTTACGGACGCCGGTTGAAATGGTGCTGCACCGGCAGCGGGATGGAGAACAGGCTGTGGGGGTAGAGGCGGAGGAGGGTGGGAGATAGGTTGAGAAGCGACTTTCTGCCTTTGGTGGTCCAAAAATTTTGATCTTCGGGAGAGGTGATCCAACATGCTGCGCACTAGATACGATTCAGTTGTGTACTAAACAAAGTTGGGATAAGGTTAACTCCACCAAATTCACACCAGTTGACATGATTTTGGGTTTGAAATTACCTTTTTGTAAGCCATTTCAAGCTCAAAAATTCGCATTTCCAATTGAGCCAGGGTCTCAGGGGTCAGGTCGTGAGCTTCATCGGCATGCCTGAAAGAGAAATATCGATGAACAGTCACTTCAAGTTGCCAACTAGGCTCTCCTCTTAATCAGATAAAAATAAAAACCTCAAGAACCAATGAAAAGGAAAGCTTGACCATAAAGACTTTAGTAGCCATTTTTTTCTTTTTCAATCATGAAAGTGCTACCTTTCCATTACATAGGAGACAAATCTTGACAGGAAAAAAAAATCAGTCTAAATGTAATTATAGGACTAAGCGTGATGGAGAGAAACAAACATCATCACGAGAGGTTAAAGGGTTCAAGATATAACCGCCCCCTGCTCTCATCTCCGACTCACACCCCTTCCAAAAATAAAGCCGCACCCCATGCCCAAATCTCTTACCCGACCCAACATTGAACAACACCTCTTCTCAGGGATTGTTTACCAACTCGCTTAGCCCACTGAAGTAGCAATGCGAAAAAAGCTGTCCAAGTGACTCATGTGGCCTTGGA